TAGAAAAACACAGAATAGCATAACAATGTAACTGTGATGTGTAAAACACTCTTAAGTAGAAAGACTAATAAACCAATTAAAAATAAATAGAACTACAACTTTCCACGACATAATAATAAAGACATAAAGAGAAAAATAAAAAAGTTAAAAAGCAGAGGGATGAAGTTAAAGTGTAGAGTTTTTATTAGTTTCCTTTTGGCTTGTTTTTTTTTCTGTTGTTCTTGTTGTTCATTTCTTTGTGCAATCAGTACTATGTTATCATCAGTTTAAAATAGGTTATATGATTTGCAAGCCTCATGGAAACCACAATCTAAAAATATACAATGAATACACAAAAAATAAAAAGCAAGTAATTACTACATGCCACCAGAGAAAATCACCTTCACTAAAATGGAGACAAAAAGGGAGGAAAGAAGGAAAACTACAAAACAACCAGAAAGGCAATAACAAAATGGCAAGAGTAAGTCCTTAGAACCAATAACAACACTGAATGTAAATAGAATAAACTGTCCAATCAAAAGATTCAGAGTAGCCAAAGAGATGAAAAAAATCAAGGTCCAGTGACTGGTTGTTTACAAGAAACACACTTCACCTATAAGGATGCACATACACTAAAAACATAGGGATGAAAAAAAGCATATTCCATGCAAATGGAAGCCAAACAAAAACCAGACAAACAAAAGCTGAAGTATTTTGTCAACACCAGGCCTATCTTATAAGAAATGCTAAAGAGAGTTCTTCAATCAGAGAAAAAGACATTAATGAACAATAAGAAATCATTTGATGGTATAAAATTCACAGGTAGTAGCAGATAAAAAACACACAAACACACACAGAGTAGCATAACAATGTAATTGTGATGTGTAAAATACTCTTAAATAGAAAGATTAAATAATGAACCAATTAAAAATAAATAGAACTGCAACAACTTTCCAAGACACAGTAATAAAAAATGAAAAATCAGCAGGAGTAGCTATACTTACATCAAACAAAATACATTTCAAGATAAATACTGTAAGAAGAGACAAAGAAGGGCATTATATAATGATAAAGGGGTAAATTCAGCAAGAGAATATAACAATTATACATGCACTCAAAACTGGAGCACAAAGGTATATAAAGCAAATACTGTTAGAGCTAAAGAAAGACATAGGCCCAAATACACTAACAGCTGGACACTTCAACACCTTACTTTCAACATTAGAGAGATCATCCAGAGAGAAAATCAACAAAGAAGCCTCATACTTAATCTACACTATAAACCAAATAGATATTTACAGAACACTTCTTCCAATGGCACCAGAATATAAATTTTTCTCCTCAGCACATGGATTATGAGACAAACATAATCAATACATAGACCATGTTAGGCCACCAAACAAGTCTTAGAATATTCAAAATAATGAAATGGCCCAGATTTGGAGGCAGCCCAAGTGTCCAGCAACAGATGAATGAATAAAGAAAACATGGTACATATACACAATGGAGTACTATTCAGCCATAGAAAGAATGAGATCCTGTTTATGTGCAACAACACAGATGGAACTGGAAGACATTATGTTATGTGAAATAAGTCAGGCACAGAAAAACAAACATTGCATGTTTTCACTTCTTCATGGGGGCTAAAAATTAAAACTGTTGAACTCATAGAGATTGAGAGTAGAAGGATGATTAACCAGAGGCTGGTAAGCATAGTGGGGGCTTGTGGAGGAAATTAGGATGAGTACACAAAAACAGAAAGAATGAATAAGATCTGGTATTTGATAGCACAACAGGGTGACTGGAGTCAATAACAATTTAGTTGTACATTTAAAAATAACTAAGAAAGTAGAATTGTATTGTTTGTACACAAAGGATAAATGCTTAACTTGTGGACACCCCATTCACCCTACTGTGATTATTACACATTATATGCCAGTATCAAAATATCTGATATTCCCCATAAATATATACATGAAATATGTATCCAGAAAAAAATTAAACTAAAAATTCTAAAAAGGAAATCTAAACAGACCTGTAACTCGTAAGAACATTGAGCCAGTAGTCATAAAACTTCCAACAAAGGAATGTCTAGGACCAGATGGCCCACTGATGAATTCTATCAAATATTTAAAGAAGAATTAACACCAATCCTCCTCACATTCTTCCAAAACATAAAATAGGGAAAACTTCCAAAATAAGACCAATGTTACCCTGATACAAGAACCCAGAAAAATACACTATTTTTACAAACATACAGAGCAATATCTTTATGAATACAAATGCAAAACTTCTCAAAAAATAGTAGAAAAATTGATTTAATGGCATATTAAAAGAATCATACACAAGACCAAGTAGGGTTTATCCCAGTAATAGAAGTGTGGTTCAAACTAAGAAAATCAATCAGTATAATACACCACATTAATAGAACAATGGACAAAAAACACATGATCACCCCAATTGTTGCAAAAAAATGCATGTGACAAAATCTGATACCACTTCATGGTTTAAAAAACACTCTCACAAAACTATGAACAGAAGAAAACTTCTACAATATGATAAAGTATATTTATAAAAACCCACATCCAACATACCTACCTTAGTCCATTTTCTATTACTATAACTGAATACCTAGGACTGGGTAATTTGCAAAGAAAAGAAATTTATTTCTTACAGTTCAGAAGGCTGGGATTTCAAAGTTGAAGGGCCACATCAGAGGAGTGCCTCCTTGCTAGTGGGGACTCTCCGAAGAGTGCTGAGGCCATTCTGGGTATCACATGGCAAAGAGGCTCACAAGAGACAGACAAACTGGCTTTTATAAAAGACCCATTCTCTTGATAACCCATTAATCTATGAATGGATTGATTTATTCATGTGGCAAGACTTTCATGACCCACTCACATAGCAAAGGTCCCACCTCTTAACACTGCTACAATGGGACCAAGTTTCCAGCACATTAACTTTTAGGGTATACATTTCAACCACAGCAAAATCCAATTTTCCTCTTAAGATAAGGAAAAAATGAGGAAGCCTACTTTCACCACTGTTATTCAACATTGTACTAAAAGATCCAGCCAGAGAAATTAGAAAATAAAAAGAAACAAAGGGCATACAAATTATAGAAGAAGTAAAACTGTCTTTATTCACAGATGATTCATATATATAAAACATTTCAAAGGTTCCACACAAAAATATTAGAGTTAAAATATAAATTCGGCAATTATAGAATACAAATCAGTATGTGCTTTTGTTCATATACGAGAAACTTAATCCCTGGTGCAACAATGTTGGGAGTTAGGCTCTTTAAGACATAATTAGGTCATGAGGGCGTCATCCTCATGAACAGATTAATGCCACTATTTTAGGAGGGGGTTAATTATCACAAAGTAGATTCCTGAGTTTGTCCCCCTTCCTTTCTGTTGCTCTCTCACGCTCTCTCAACCTTCTGCCTTCTGTCATGGGATGATGCAGCAAGAAGGCTGCAGCCAGAGCCAGGTCTCTTGACCTTGGACTACCCAGCCTTCAGAAGTGTAAAACATAAACTTTTCTTTATATTAGCCAGTCCATGGTATTCTGTTACAGCAATCCAAAATGGAAGAAAACTCAGGGAATGAGAGTTATTGTTTAATGAGTTTCCTTTTGGGGTGATGAAAAGTTGTAAAAATAGATGTTAGTGATGGTTGCACAACAGTATGAATGTAATTAATGCCACTGAATTGTATACTTAAAGATGGTTAAAATGATAAATGTTATGTTACGTATACTTTATATTTTGAAATTTTTAAGTTGATTAATTCAGTTCAACTTAACTGCTGGGATAAAAGAAAATGTCCTTAGACAGTAGGAAATATTTAGCTCGGATAATGGCTCATCACAGATGAAACAGCTAGAGGCATTCCCACTTCAAAGCACAATAGAAAAGTGGATCCTATACCACAGCCATTTAATTTTGTTTTAAAAGTTTAGGTCAATGCAATAAAATATGGATTGGATAGTAACATTATATATGTTGGAAAGAAAGAACAAATTTATCTTTGCTTTTAACCATGTATCAAACACCTAAATAACCTAGCAAAAAATATTACATATAAAGAAATCATCTTTTGTTTCCTGCTATGCTCAGATTAATTTTGGGTGTCATATTAAGAATTCATAGGGACTCCATGTTTGGGTCCCCGTCCACAAACACTCTCTCATGGAAGCCATCTTTCTCTCTCCTGGATTTCCCCTCTGGAGTCCCCTTCCGCACTCTCTCCTGGAAGCCTGTCTTCCCTCCTAAACTCCATCTCTCTCTATTCCCTTCCACTCAGTGTGGAAGCTGCTTTTCTCTCCTGGATTCCATCTTTCTAGATTTTCTCACTCAGTGTGAAAGTTAGCTGTTTCTTTCTCTCTTCTTCTCCTGTTTCTCAAAAAATAAAAATAAAAATAAAAAATAAAATTTTTTTTAAAAATTCATAATGCTACATACTATTATTTGCTTGAAATAAAGCTGTCACTTCCCCTTTACACAGATCTTAGTTAAAATAGACTCTCTGAGTAATGCAATGATAACTTAGCAAGTTAATTTTATTTTTTTGAGATGAAGACTTGCTCTGTTGCCCAGGCTGGAGTGCAGTGGCGCGATCTCGGCTTACTGCAACCATCGCTTCCTGGGTTCAAGCAATTCTCCAGCCTCAGCCTCCGGTGTGGCTGGGATTACAGGTGCATGCCACCACTCCCAGATAATTTTTGTATTTTTAGTAAAGACGGGGTTTCACCATGTTGGTCAGTCAGGCTGGCCTCAAACTCCTTACTTCGCAATCCACTCACCTAGACCTCTCAAAGTGCTGGGATTACAGGCATGAGCCACTGGACCTGGCCCACCAACTTAATTTTTATATAGTTGTCATTTTATTTGTACGCTATCCAGTGACTATCTAACAAGTTGTTTGTATATTTAATAAGGTTCTCCCCTCATTTATTTATATCATGGGAACACATAATCATTCACATTTTCATCTTCCAAAACAGAATCTTTTTACCTTGAGATTTTTCTGCTGCTTGGTAAGTTTGTTTCTCAGTCTTCTGTTGTAATTGTTCTTCTGAAACATCTGCCTTAATAACAAAAGTTGTAATATGTAATTAGAAATTTTATACATATACATATCAAAACTGGTGTTTAATTACCTGCTTTGAAAAAAAGAGTTAGCTTTTTGCTCTCATCTACAATGTCATTGCAGAAACATTTTATTTTTCATTATTTCCTGAAAGCATCAGATTAAAAAGTCAGAACAATTAATGGACCTGAGAGGCAATTGGGAATACTGAATAGCAAGGAGGGTGCTCAAGCAATATTGTGATTTTCCCTCACAAATAGTTCTAACCAAATAATGCTAATCATTATTAATTCTTGTTTAGATTTATATTTTAGTCTGTTTTAATCTTTAGAAGAACTCAAATGGCTTATAAGATTATTATGATAGGTTATTATGATATAATAACACCTATGATCAAAATATATTTTGGATACATGTCACGTACGTACAGATCTTTTCTCTTTTTCCCAGCATTTCTGACCTATGAATTTCCTAATTAAATTCTTTTAAACCAAAACAATTCTAAAAATTTTCTAGGTCTTGTTTAAAGGTATATAAAATTATTTGAAAATGAGTATGCTTTTACAATCATCTTATTGTATAATTTTTTTTGTAGATGAAGCAAAAACTATGAAAATTTTCCTTATCTCAGAATGATATATCTTTTAATTTACCATTAAAACTATAATGTAACCCACAACTTCTTGATCAATATCAAACAATTTTATAAGTTGACAATATTATTACATTTCCCAAATATTACTTTCAGCATTCTAAACATAAAGCAGGTTGTGTTAAAAGGTAAACTTTTAGTTCTCTTGAAATAAGAAAATATTTATTAACCCATTTAAATGGGTTAGAATTTATTTGGGATATTGAAGAAGCAATATGAAATAAACAGCTTTCAAGTATTTATGTATGTCATACCTTTTTACTTTCTGTAAGAACAGGAGGTAAAATGAATGGTGATATCACTGTTTCATTTTTTTGAGCCAATGTTCCAACAGACAGTGAATCCTGAATTTCTTTGCTGGATGATATTGTTGCAAGTGATTTATCATGGGTCTCTGATGGAGATTTATAGGCTAGGTCTTCAGCAACTGAAGCTTCATTTGAACTCTCTAAAAAAGTTGATTCATCTTGAGACTTAAGGATCTGTGAAAGATCTGAAATAGCAGGGCTAGATCGTTTCTTCTCTGAGCTTTAGAATTATAAAACATCTGGTATTAGATTATGTGAAGACCATTTTCTTTGCAAATGAAGAATCATTTTAATAATATATGAAGATATTAAATAATTGTAATTACTCATTAATTCATGGTAATTCCAATATGAAATTGATGTTAGATAACAAGTTGACAATAGTAACATGTTCTAAGATTTAACATGATATATAATACTAAGGAAATTATGTAAAATAATCCAATATAATCGTTATTCAAGGTGATAAGCCACAGAACAAGAAAAATTTACTCAGCCAAAGTAGAATATAGGATGATTTAGAGATTTACCCGTTAGTCACATTTATTCCATTATTTTTCCACAATTTCATTTCAGAATGAAAATTATAATCTCTCCACAGAAGCTTTGACATTAAAAGATCACCACCTTTTACCAGAGTCAATTTCCCAAGCTCTGAGTTAGTTTTCTTTAAGGTAAGGGGTATTTATTCTCCACCAATTGCCAAAGGATCAGCTTTCCAGGTTCCAGAACTAGGGTAACCAGATGTCACGGTTTGCAAGCACAATCCCAGTTTTTGTTTGTTGTTCAAAAATTCTAGTTTACACAATAATTTATCAAACAATAAAAATTTAACAAAGCTTTCCTAGTCCTATGAAATGCAACAAAATTTGATGTGTTTTGTTTTGAACAGCTGTTGCTCCAGTTGACATAATTTGCCTAAAGTTTGTTGCAAAGTGTTTAAAATAATTTGAATTTTGGTCTCACAGAAGCAAAATTCTCAATGTACCTACTGCCACTTATCCTACATTTGTTAGTTTAGAATAAATTTAGAACTCCAAAGTTTGGGTTATAAAAAAAAAAAAAGGGAGTGGAGTGGAGAGGATAGCTCTGAAAACATATATATAGAAAGTTCTCGTAATTTAAAAAAGACATAGAATTTATGACAAACAGACTTTTGTAGCAGCATTATAAAGCAGATTGCAATATTAAAAGTAAAGAGAATAGGTGGCTTTCTTTCCCAAATTAAGCATAGCATCTCATCCTCAAACCTGATTTATTAGTTTTATTAGGTATTTGAATTTAAGATGATTAGTTCTGAAATACAGTCTAACACTCATCTGGAGACTATTTGTTATAGTTATTCACAAACCACCACCCCTGACACTAATATTACCACATATCTAAAAATAGAAAGCAAAATATTTTTGGAGATTCTGAAAGGGTTATTAGGTGACATCATTAATCACTTGATTCTACAGAGGCAATTATTCTTATAACAATAGAGAAAATATATGGCAATACAAGAACAATGCCTTAAATGCTAATATACAGTTCATTTATAACCTATTCCCATATTCAGGCATTCCCCACTTCTATTGTCTCATGCAACCATAAGGAACCACTGCATAACAAACATGATACTTCTGCTGAAGGGGTCGGGAATAAAAAGTACGAAGAGGTTGTGCAAGCAATGCTGTATTCAAGCTTGTGTCAGTCAAAGAGAAATGGAAATACTTTCAAAGCCTTACTGATTAGACAGGGAAGGAGAAGGAGAAGGAGAATGAGGGGGGAAGAGAAAGAGGAGGATGAGGAGAAGCGGAGTTGAAGGAGGAGGAGGAGAACAGCAATGATTATAGAAGGCAGCCTACAGCCACACAGAAAATAATAAAAAAGCAAGTGATTGTACCTTCCCAATTCTTTGGTAAATTGCCCAAAACAACCAAAATATAATTTATAAATCTTACTAACTTTGTGTCATTCACTGTCTGCTTTAGATTGACTCTGCGTCTGATAATCATTCCATGTCTAAATACTACCATATAATAGTCTAATCATGAGCATATATTTTAGCAGCTTTTATATAAGCATGTTGACAGCATTCTATATCACAGTCTTCAACATCACTGAAGTGGTATAAAGAGTGTATCTCCTCCTGCTTGCAAAAGCATTTGTTAACTCTGATGATCTGAGCACTACATCCTTTTCTTACTAAGCAAATAGATGTACAAAGACACTATCTGTTATGCATATAATCATGGATACTTTATAATTCTTAAACAGGGGAAAATGGAAAAGTTATTTGGTTTGAAATGCCCCAACCCCCCCTTTTTTTTTTTTTTTTCCTTTCCAATACCTTCTTTTTCAGGAACTTTCCTTAACACCATCCATTTTCTAAAATGTCAATACAATCCCCAACGCATACCCTCCCCTCTTAGAAAAAAAAAAAAAACTCTCTCACAAGTATTGATGTTACATTGAATTTTTAATTATCAATGCAAATAAGGGACAAATTAATAATAAAATACTAAGAAAATATTATTGATATTCTTATCTGCAGTAATACAAGATGTAGAATGCATTCCTATATATAAAACAAAAATATCTAAGACCCAAAGTGTGCAATACAGTACAAACTAATACGATTCTAAAAATGAATTTTATAGAAAGTTTTCAATATAGGTGCCATAAAAGTCAAAAGTTATCAATATTTTGATAGTTTTAAAAAATTACAATTAACATTGATCAAAATATTCATAGTGACTAGTTCTAGGCTCCTCAACTGAAAAGAAAGTCAAAAATTTTTAAAGGTTCAGTAGAAGTCCAAGATAACTAAGAGCCTGGAAAAAATAAAAGGTTAAAATACTTGAAATTATTAACTTAATGAAAATTGGTTGATGGACTACTTAGAAATAGTTTGTAAATGAATAAATAATTCTTAAACTGACGATGTTGCCTAGCTACCTCTAGCCAGCAATGTTATTACTGAAATAATCAGAAATGGAACTTAAACTATAAGGATATTATATAGGACAAAGAAAAACTATTCTCATACTAGAAAAAAAAAGTTATCAGTTAATGAGAATGACAATGTTATGAATGAATGAATGGCCTCAGTTAATATCTCCCTTCCCTACTTGGTAGCTTGGTAGAGACTTTCAACTCTTTCACTGATACCTGTAATATTGCAATGTGCTCTGCTTGCTATTCTCCTTATAAGTTTTTCTAAATAAACCTTGTTATGTGTAGCTAGTAGTATATGACTCATGTATGTTATATGTAGCTTTTGAAAACAGAAAGTTTGGGCTACCACTGAAGTGGGAAATAATTCCATTGGAAGCCTTATACCAAACAAACTACTAAGTTGAAATGGTCAATACCTCAGTGTCCATATCTTACACAGTCATAAAAACTCAAGAGATAAATTACTTGTTCTCAGTAAGAATGGCTATAGGGATCAGGTAGCCATTGAATTATGGGACACCATAATCTCAGATTAAGTAGGATGTTTCTTTTGGATTTTTATCATGCACATTTTCCTTTTGCTCATTCTGCTTTGCATCCTTTTTATATAATAAATCATGGTCATCATAATGACTATATGATGAGTGCTGTGAGTTCTCCTCTTGAGGAGAGTAGTCTTAGGGAACCCTAACACGCAGGCTACTATTTTTATACTTTATATTAATACTGTTTGCTGTTTCTTTCTCAGATTACATAATTAATAAGGACATTCTGAATTATTAAACCAAAAACAGGTACACAGCCATATTAGTTGGTTAATTATCTATTGGCAACCTCCATAATGGCTGGCCAAGCACATGGTGAAAAACCGAACTGGCAAGATCATTCCATAATATTGCACACAAGAATAATAATAATAAATTATTCTTCAAACAAAATGTAATACATAAAGAGACTCCTCAATGCTAGTCTGTTAAGAAAAAAAAAAAACTGGACACTCCATACTGGACTACTGAAGCTTAACCAGGGAAATAAAAAGCTCTACTTACTCCAGTCTCTGTCACTACACAAGCTATAGAATAAATTGCTGCCACTACTAATACATGTATGTAGCTGAAGACTTGGCAAGGTATGCCAAGATTAGTAAATATACCTTTAGTAATCTTTCTTGAGAATGTTTTAATTCCTGTTATACATTTTCAGTGTGGGACAAAACTTAGTAAAATGTACACTGCTAGCAATCTCCAGATATTATATCGCACTGATGACTGTGATCAACACCAAAGAAATATTAGCTGTTGTCTAGGCATACCTGATTAAAGATAACTTTAAATGATCCAGGGCCCTAGTACTCAGATGAATTTGGAGAAGGCAGTCATCATCTAGACAGTAGCAATAAGATACATTCTGTATCACTTAAAGCAGGTATCCCCAACTCCTGGACCACACACTGGTACCAGTTCAGGGCCTGTTAGGAACTGAGTCACACAGCAGGAGGTAAGTGGTGAGTGAGCAAGCAAAGCTTCCTCTGTATTTATAGCCACTCCCTCATCACTTGCATGACTACCTGAGCTCAGCCTCCTGTCAGATCAGCAGACGCATTAGATTCTCATAGGAGCACAAATCCTATTGTGAACTGTGCATGCGAGGTATCAACGTTGCATGCTGCATACAATAACCTAATGTCTGATGATCTGTCACTGTCTCCCATCACCCCCAGATGGGACCATCCAGTTGCAGGAAAACAAGCTCAGGGCTGCCACTGACTCTACATTAAAGTAAGTTGTATAATGATTTCATTAAATATTATAATGTAATAATAGTAATAAAGTATACAATAAATGTAATGTGCCTGAATCATCCTGAAACCACCCCCTTCACCCTAATCTGTGGAGAATTTGTCTTCCACAAAACTGGTCCCGGGTGCCAAAAAGGCTGGAAACTGCTGCCTTAAAGGAAAATTTACTGGGCCTCCAGTCCCAACAACAAAGGATTTTTCTTGTTAGGTAGTGGTGACATCACATTCTATACCTGGTCATTCTTCAAAGCACTATATCAATGCAACTAACTTTAAATAGAAGCCCATATATTAACAAGCCTTGGAAGAAGTCTAGGCATCATAAAAACAAGTTCTAACTTTAGATTTTGCCATGTCTTTCAAATTCATGGGATCACACATACCTGTAAGAAACCATTTTCTGACTGAAGCTTTTGGCAACAATACTTCAATAAATTATTTGTCGTCTCCTACATCTTCGGACTAAATGATTTCCTTCT